GCTATCAGGCCCCCACCGGCGATGAGTAGGCCGTCGGGGGTCGACGCATCCCCCCCGTGAGCCTATCCCAGACATGCGACCCCCTGATTACTTCCATGCACGGTCCCTGCGAGTCCCGCCCCTGCCCCCTGGACGGGTTCTCGCCCCGAGTCGTGCTCTGACCGCCCCGGGGGGAGCGGGTGAGGGCCCCGAGAGGCTGAGAACGAAGAGGAGGAGGAGGAAGAAGAGGAGGAGGCGGAGGAGGAGGAGGAGAGGAGGAGGAGGAGGAGGAGGAGGAGGAGGACGATAGGGAGCCCGAAAGGACGCACGTGCCCAGCCGCGCACACGAATGCGGCCCCCCCGTCCGCGAGGCCAGCCTCGTGACACGGACGCTCGCGCAGTGCACCCTCTCGAAACCAACGTGGATTCACGTGCGCATGCGTCCTGTTTTAGCTCCTGCATGTCTGGGATTCCCCCTGTGAGCCTGTCACTAGAGGCCTCCTAGATGGGGTCCGAGTAAATGGGGTCGGAGGATCTCGCCGCATCGCCGATACCTCGGCGATGCATCGCTGATGCATCGGCGATGCATCGGCCATGCACTGGCGACGTCAGCGATGCATCGGCGACATCGGCGTGGAGAAACTTGGGCCCCACATCGAGCCGCATCGCTGATGCATCGCCGGTGCCTCGGCGATGCGGCGCGATCCTCCGACCCCATCCACTCGGACCCCATCTAGGAGACCTCTACAGTCGAGGTGTTGACCTAAGGAACCCTAGATAAGGAACGAGGCCCCTTTTTCCCATCAGTGAAGGTTCGATCTCCCATCGAAAACCCGAGGAAAACCCAGGGCAAGCTGTGAAACAATCAAGGAACACGGCGCCCCTCGCCAACGAAAGGGTTCCTTCTTCAGGGCCCCGACCGTACCACGCCTCAACGACTGTCCCCGATAATGAATCCACGCCTCAACGACTGTCCCCCCCTCCACGTTGCCCCCGACGCGGGCATCTCCCCCCGTCGGGGCCTGCGCCGGCGTGCCGAGGCCGCGCCGCGGCCCTGCCAGGCACGTCCGTGCCCCGCCCGGCGGGCCCAGGGGCGGCCCCGCTGGCGCCCCGCTGGCGCGCCGGGGGAAATGGAGCCTTCCTCCTCCCCCTCCTCCTCCTCCTCCTCCTCCTCCTCCTCCTCCTCCTCCTCCTCCTCCTCCTCCTCCTCCTCATTATCGTCTTGGTTTCCCTGTTCCTCCTCCTCCTCCTCCTCCTCCTCCTCCTCCTCCTTATCCTCCTCCTCATCATTATCATCTTGGTCATCCTGCTCCTCCTCCTCCTTCTCCTCCTCCTTCTCCTCCTCCTGCTCCTGTTCCTCCTCCTGCACCTTCTCCTCCCCATTCCTCCTCCTCCTCCTCCTCCTCCTCCTCCTATCCTTCCTCCTCCTCCTCCTCCTCCTCCTCATCATCATCATCTTCCTCCTCCTAGACATCAAGACAAAGAAAGACAGGGCACAGACGCAACACAAAACAAGTGTGGAGTTGCCGAACCAGGAGGCCCACGCAACACCGAAAGAAAGACAGGGCACACGCGCCAGAGACAGACAGGCGTGGAGTTGCCGAGCCAGGAGGCTTAGGCATCCAGAAAGAAAGACAGGATACAGAGGCAAACAGGCGTGGAGTTGCCGAGCCAGGAAGCTTAGGCATCAACGAGAGCAAACCAGGGCACACGCGCCAGAGATAGACAAGCGTGGAGTTGCCGAGCCAGGAGACTCAGGCATCCTGAAAAAAAAAGACAGGCACAGAGGCAACACGCAAACAAGTGTGGATCCGCCGAGCCAGCAAGCTAAGGCATCAGTCAAAGAAAGACAGGACACACGCGCCAGAGGCAACAGGAATGACTGCCGAGCCAGGAGGCGTAGGCATCAGAGGAGTAGCACAATCTGCAATTCGCAATGCGACTAGCACGTCATAGTGCAACTGCGGCTGACAGTTCACAGTCAGTGATCGTGGCCCCTGGCTCAAGCAGCCAAGCGGCCTCGACGGCTTCTCTCCAAACCAGAAATGCACCCGTGGCATAGTGCAGGAGGGGGGAAGGAGGGAAAGGGCAGGAGCTAGTAACATGTGACGTACACGGCAATATGTCGCTCATGATCTCACAATGTCTCATACTGAGATATCCAATCTAAAGCAAGAAACCACAATTGCTACCTTTGCTGCAGACTCCAACGCCATACGCACCACGACAGGCGATGGGTGCTAATGATTCCGTTTCGAACGCAACACGATGACGATACTGTATGCAGAATGTGTGGCCCTCACGGGCCATGTGCGTGAGTTCATCTGCGCGGGTGTTCGCTTCACGGTACTCATGACAATATATATATATGTATATCCAATTGTCCGAGCCACGAACGGCATGTGAACATGTTAGGGAATATAAATCCTGCACGCGCTCATCAACACGCTGTTGGTACTGTTTAATATGGCACCTCAATTTCCCCGTCAGCCAAGACTGGATCAACAACGAGCCGCCTCGGATCTCCACTCCAATGCCTGGGGTCAGCACGTCCCAGACCGTAACACGCTCGCTGATCAGAGCAAGCCTCTTGGCCTGCTTCGTGTTCTCCTCCTCCGCCCCCTCCTCATTACGTTCACAGTCTCCTTTTATACTCCCCCCCCCGCCGTACCATTATGTATATTCTTCCAAGCTGTATTGAAATATGCGTATAGGTTGGGGCGTTTGTATGTCGTCAACAGTGTTTCCCATGTCGATAGAAATGCGGCAAATCCTGGCTGGAAGGTCTCCAACCACTTATCCCCTTGTATCTGAATGTATGGATACTGCCAAGATCTCTGACCCACACTCCAACCACCAGCAAGCAGACGCTTTTCCCCTTGGAAGCTCTCCTCCAGTCACCGTGGCATCGAAGGCATTCGGTCAACTCCGTAAGATGTCTGCCCCACAACTTGCTGGTACAAAGCAGTGCCTTACGTAAGTCCCCCCCCCCCAAAAAAAACAAACAAAAAAAAACGGCGCGTCGCACCCGGGCACGGCGTTATCCGTCTCGTGACATTCCAGCTCGATGAATCGGTGTTTGGCTGAGGGACGGGCGGCGCCTTCACTGTGGAGACCCCCGCCTCAAACAGGCAGGGCGCAGTACCAGGCGCCGACACGGTCCCATCAGCGGACTTCTCCTCCTCCTCCCCCTCCTCCTCCACCTCCTCCTGCTCCTCCTCCTCCACATGATCATCAGCACCATCACCATCACCAGCACAATCAGCATCATCATCATCATCATCATCATCATCATCATCACCATCACCATCACCACCACCACCACCATTATCATGATCAGCATCATCATCATGATCATCATCATCATCACCACCACCACCACCATCATCATCATCATCACCACCACCATCACCACCACCACCACCACCACCATCATCATCATCATCATCACCACCACCACCACCACCACCACCATCACCCCCACCGCCACCACCACCATCATCATCACCACCACCACCACCACCACCACCACCACCATCATCATCATCATCATCATCATCATCATCATCATAATCGTCATCACTCCTTCTTCATCTCCCCCTTAGTCCTCGTCCCCCCTTCCCCTCCCGAGGGGCAACGTTAGGGGGACCAGCGCAACGGGTGGAACATTGACCTGGAATCAGCGGTGCATCGGCGACAAATCGGCGATGAGCCCCCCGACGGCGAAACCGCCAGCTCCTGGGCGGCACGCGTTGCCCCCGACTCCCCTCCTCACACGCCCTCCCCCAGACGACGACGGCGCCGCCCCCGCGCGCCGGCCGACGCGCCGCGCCACGCGCTGGGCGCCAAGCGCCCGCTCGACGAGGCCCGCGCCCGCGCGAGGCCCGCGCCCGCCGCGGAGCGGAGCGGAGCGGAGCGGAGCGGAGCGGAGCGGAGCGGAGCGGAGGAGGAGGAGGAGGAGGAGGAGGAGGAGGAGGAGGCAGCGGAGCGGCGCGAGGCCCGCGCCCGCGCGTCAGGCCGCGCGCCCGACGCGGAGGGACCTCGCCGGGCGGCCAAGGCGTCGGCGGCGCGGGAGGCCGCCGAAACGAGCGTCGAGCCTCTCGGGCGTTCGAGGCAGGCTCGGGCGCTCGAGGCTCGGAGGTCGGAGCTCCGAAGGTCGAGGCTCCAGGCTCGAGCGCTCGAGCACCGGGGTTTGGAGGAGGATGGAGGAGGAGGAGGAGGAGGAGGAGGAGGAGGAGGAGGAGGAGGAGGAGGAGGAGGAGGTCGAGGATCGAGCGCTCGAGCACCGGGGTTTTCGAGGTTTTCGAGGCTCGAGGCTCGAGCACTCGGGGAGCGGGGCTCGGGGGTCGAGGCTCGAGGATCGGGGCACGGGCGCCCTCGTGCCACTCGCGGGCCTCCTGGGGGGGCCAACAGGGGGCGCCGGAGAACTCTGAGAGCCCCTGGGGACTGCTGGAGACCTCTGGGGACCAGCAGAGGCCGAAGATGCCGGCCGTCGTCGTGGTCGCCGGCGTCGTCCATGCATGCCAGATCCGGTGCCCCATGTGCATGCACGGGGCCTGGTCACGTTGGGGGGGTCCCACGGGTGGAGCGACCGGATTGCCCCCTCCGGACTCTCACGGGGAAGACTCCCGCCGCTCACGCCGCGCCGGTCGTCATCGCCGCCGCCATCGATGCCGCAACCACGGTCGCCACCGTTTGGAGACGGCCGGGGGGTCCGAATTGGTTGGGACCCGAGAAAAACTGTCAAGGAGGGGGGAAGCCAAATCACCTCAAAATGTAAGTCCCTGGACCCCTCCCAGGGTCCATCTGGTACAGTTTTTCACCCCGGATCCGTTTTCGAACCTGGGCCCGAAAACTACCCCCGGAGGGCGAAAAAGGCAAAAGACCTTCCCGAACCCAGAACCTCGAACCTGCCCGCCACTCTCGCTGGCCAGAACCAGCGCTGGGCCACCTCCGACCCCCAGACGGCTCCAAGCCGCCGCCGCCGCCGCCGCCGCCGCCGCCGCAAGCGCCTTTGATTTCTGCTCGCGACGCCCGCGTCTCACAGAGAAGGCGCCGGCACCCCGTCGCACCAGACACCTGCCGCCGCCCGCCCCGCCCACCGGCCCGAGACCACGGCGTGCAGGAGGCCGTTGCCGGAGAGGTACCCGAGGGCGTCGTGGCCGCTCAGCCCCGCCGCCGTGCCCCCCGCGGCGAACAGCCCGCCGATCGGGGAGCCGTCCGCGCGCAGCACGCGCTGGGAGGCGTCGCACCGCAGGCCGCCCTGGGTGTGGAAGAGCGCCGCCCGGACCCGGACCGCGTGCAGGGCGCCGGGGACGCTCCACGGGCCAGGAGGGCCCCAGCGGCACACACTTGCGCGGGGCCCGGCCAGGCTCGTCCTGGGCCTGGGGCTCGGTGCACACGAGCCCTCCCCCTGGCAGCGCGCGGCCCCTTTCGGGCCTGGGCCGCTTCCCTGAGGGTAGTCTTTTTCGGGGATGGACAGGCCTCCCTTTAGCAAAACGTGGTCTCGTGAAAACGACTCGAGGCCCAAACCTGGCGGGCGCGCAAGCCTGGAAGATGACGGCCACGGCGCCCCCTCGAGAACCGACAACGGACAATTCACGAATCAACGTGCCGCTGTTGGGGGTTCTGTCCACCCCCGAACCGTGAAGCGAATCGTGCCAGCATGCAGGAGATGGGGGGAAGGAAGGGGAGGAGGAGGAGGAGGAGGAGGAGGAGGAGGAGGAGGAGGAGGAGGAGGAGGAGGAGGAGGAGGGGGACAAGCTCCGGGGGGTTCTGCCCAGCCCCGAGTCTTGCGCGTCCCGGATCCATGCTTGACGACCCCGGGGGAGGGGGGGGCCGAGAGCGGGCCCCAGGGGCCACTGCCGAGGAGGAGCGCTGGGACTGAGCAGCAGTTCTCCTGCTTCCAGCGATGCCCACCGGCCTGCACGGAGTGTGCTCAGAACACGCCTGGCCGAGACTGTTCTGTTCTATGACGTCGGGCTTGTGTTCTGAGAGCACTGCTGCTGTGCTTAGAACACTGCTGTGTTCTAAGAGCATCTCGCAACAGGCCTACAGGAATGCCAGCCTTCGGCGTTTGCTCCGAACGGTGCGCGCGCCTACTGGAACGCTGTGCGCGGGGCCCGGCGGTCTCGGCCAGCGCGGCGGCCGGGCCACGTCGCAAGTTGATGCCTTCCGAAAGTCTACCAACAGCCCCAGGGCCCCTGACGAACGAAACCGAAACAAGACCCTGGAGCGACAAACCAGCCCTCCAGACGAGTCTTGCGAGACCCCCGAACTTGAGAACTTGTTCGGAGAGAGATCTGCAGCCGTTGAAAGAGGAAGAGGAGGGGCAGCAGCAGCAGCACGAGGAGGAGGCGGACGACGAAGGAGGAGAAGATGAGACGGACCTCTCTTTCTTCCTCCTGTTCCATACGCCCCGTCCTCCTCTGACGACGGGGCGCATGTCGCGTTTGATGAGACGCCGTGGAGTGGTGGCTGGCGCATTCGTAATATTGTGCTTTATTCTGTCCGGGTCGATTCTGGTCCAATATGACCTTATAGTATGTTATGTTATGTGGTGGATTGGCCGGCGTGACGTCGTGAGGCAATTCACGTTTATGGCTTCTAATCGGTCGTTGCTGCTACTGTTTGTTTCCGTGGCCAGCTTGGGCTTGGCGCGCATGTCGAGTATGATAGGCCGCCAGTGCTCGGCGCTCTGCTGAATTCTACTCTTTCGCATTGGGTTCGGTTCTGTTCTGCTCTATGAAAATATGGTTGTTTCTGTTCTGACCTCGACGGGGCGGCGCGACGTCGTGACGCCTGTCGGGTTGGATATGTCGTCTAATCGGTCGTTGCCGCGCCTGTCTCTTCATGTGGCCAGGCGCGGATGCTAGCGCGCCCTTGACTTGTCGTTGCTGTATTTAGCAGTGCTCAATCAAGTTAGGCTCGATTCTGCTTTGCTACGATATGATATGTTATGTTGTCGGCGGGACGACATGACGCCGTGACGCCTGTCACGTCAGATACGTATTCCGATCGGTCGTTGCTGCGCCACTTTGTACATGTGGCCTGGCTGACTTCGGCGCGCACGTCGCGTTTGATCATGTTGTGGTACGGCCTAGTACCTATGTTATGAAGCTTCTCTTCAAGTTGATGCTTCTTTCCTGTTACAGAGTATGCTCTGTTATGCTCACCTCTGGCATTGTCTGATTTGAAAGGATATGGCATGCTCTGCGCCGTGGCACCACGTTATCACATGATACTTATATTATTTCAGGCTCGGCCATGTTATGCTATCGTATGTGATCCTAATCAGGGCATGCTGGGCTGGTTATCATATGTTACATGAAGCTCTAGCCGATCACTTTATATCTAAACCGTTGACGTAAGGGTAGCAGTAGTACTACAAGTATGTGTTGTTATGCCGATTACGGTGTGCCCTATTCGTTATCTTATGCTGGTTTGACGCCTGTCACGATAGATACCTCTTCCGATCGCTCATTGCTGGGCTTGTTTGCTCCTGTGGCCAGCCTGCCCTCGGCGCGCACGTCGCATTTGATTACACTGTAGCACAATACACTATGTTGTGCTGAAATGCTTTGTCATGTTATGTAATGCTGTGATGATGTGTCATGGTATGATGTATTATGCCATGATGTTAAAGGTTACGCTCTGTTCTGTTACGCTATATTATGGTGTGCTCTGCCCGTGCTTGCTATCATGTGTAGTGCCATGGTATGCTCTGTACGCTCCATGATGCCATTGCATGCGTTGTTATGCTGTATCATGGTAAGTTTTGTTCTGACATGATATGAAATGTGACTACCGACCAGACCACCCCAACCCAACCCGAAGACCCCCATTTCGGGTTGGGGGGGGTACGGGTTCCATATGTGTTTTTTCAGTGTTCCCCGACCCCCCCCCAATTGGAAATGGAGGGCAAATTGAGGCCTTCGGGTTGGGTTGGGGTGGTTTGGTAAGTGGTGAAAATGGTTTGCCTTGTTCTGATATGGTGATATGATATACGTAGCACCCCGCAGATGCGGATAAGAGTGAGGGGGCGGTGGGGACGTCGGCACTTTGCGAGACTCTGGAAAAGCCCGCCGCAGGCAACCCGCTGCAGGCGCCCGGTGGGTCGCAGGTGGGTCGCGGATGGGTCACGGATGGGTCGCGGGCTGGGTCGGGTGGGTCGCGGGGTGTGTTGCGGGTGGGTGGCGGGTGGGTCGCGGGTGGGTCGCGGGGTGGGTCGCGGGTGGGTCGCGGGTTGGGTCGCGGGTGGGTCGCGGGCGGGGTGGGTCGCGGGGTGGGTCGCTGGTGGGTCGCGGGTAGGACGACTACAACAAACAACAACGACAACAACAACGCAACAAGCAAAATTCTCACCACGAAATCCTTATTCAGCCACGCACCCAGGGACACTTATATGCGATGATGTACTGTGTGGCGCCGCGTTCTGACATGGTATTATGTGTCATGGTATGCATTGGTATGTGGTTTGATGCTGCGATACGGTGTGACATGTTCTGCAATGGTATGCTATTGTGCGCTATGCTATGCCATCGTATGGTAGTGTACGATCTGCTATGTTATGGTATGAACTGTGGTGTGGTGTGATGATATGTTCTGTATGATCAGGTATGCCATAGCTCATGGTGCTATGATATATACATTATGCTATGATGCAACATGTGTTACCGCGTTCTGCCATATTATGACACGTCAACTGTGATGCAATGATGTATGGCATGGTATAGGTATTGCGATGACGTGGTATGATAAGGTGTGCGATGTAATGGTGTGTTAGATTATGATATGGTATGCCATAATATGTTATGGTTTGCTACGTTACGTCATGTTATATGCTATGTATGCACCGACTTGTCATACCATGCATTGGTATGTTGTGTTGTGATATGCTATGATATGTCATGTCATGTGAGGCTGTGGCATGTTCTGTTTTGGTAAGTTCAGGTCTGCGATGTGTTATTGTGGTATGCTTGCTTTGTCGTGTTAGTTGCTCGGTGCTGTGATGATGTGCTATGGTATGCACTGCTCTGGCATGGCATACTATGTTGCGATATGTTATGTCATGGTATTACATGTTGTGCTCGGAAATGCTATGTTAGGTCGTGTGATGTTATGCTCTGCTCTGTCAAGACGTATCGTGCTGTGCTGTACTATGTCCTGCTGTTTTATGATACCGTTCTGTCATGTTATGACTTGTCGGCGCGGAGCGGGACTCGCTGGGATGCTCGGGAGCCTGGGGATCTGGAGACCGCGGTATGCCGAGGGGCGCGAAGCGGGACTCTCCGGGATACGCGGAAGCCTGCGGATCCGGCGGCCGAGGTATGCCGAGGGGCACGCGGCGGGACCCTCGGGGATACACGGGAGCCTGGAGATCTGGGGATCGGTGCAGGTGCACAGCTGGTGCCCTCCGAACGGGCTCTCGCGCGGCCACGGCCGCCCGAAGCCGTCCGCGCCGCCGGCAGCGCGGCGCACCTCGTCGACGGCCGCCGCGAGGCGCTCGGGGGGCAGGCCGTGAGCGCTGCACAGCTCCTCCACGGACCCGAAGGTGCCCATCGCGCCGGCCTCCAGCACCTCCTCGAAGCGGGTGCCGCGGCACGCCGCGAGGCACGCCTCGGGGAACACCTCCACCGCCTCCGCCCCCGGCTGCGCCATGACGCTGCGCGAGTACGCGGAGTAGCCCACCTCGGCGATCCAAAGATGGGGCCCTCAGGGATGGGGCCCCGAGGGCGAGTCGCCTCCACGGAGGTCCCACGTGGGGCCCCTTCCCTGCCCTGGGGCAGCCCCCTCCGACAGGGACCCGCCCTTGAACCGCCGACCACCAGCTCGTTGCCAAACCTCCTGCCCTCGGTGTTGACCAGGATGGCGCCGTTGACCACCACGCCCCAGGTCACGAGGGGGCCGCTCGGGGCGACCACCGAGGCGTGGCCCTGGAAGGCGCCCATGCGCTCGGTGGCCGCGCCCAGCTGCGCCGCCCACGCCAAGGCCTCCCCCGTGTTCAGGGGCGAGCCCAGGTAGACACCGTTGGCCACGCTGCTCCCCAGGTGCTCACGGACCATCGCCTCTGGGCATCGCTCGACCGATCCCCACCCCCACCGGCGTGGGGCCTCGGCCCCAATTTCCGACTTGAGGTGTTCCCTCCAGGCTTTGCGGGATCTATGGGACGCAACCTACACGCCTACACCGATCCTGATCGGTGTCTCCGGTGGCAACTCATGGGAGCCTCCCATATCATCTTGTCGGCTATTGAGAATCGACGCTAGTCGACGCTAAATCAAAGGTAATCGACGATAAATCGACGCTAATCGACGCGAGTCGACGCTACATCGGCGCTATCCCATCGACTCCCAGACGCTAATCGACGCTCATCGACGCTCAAGACGGAAATGAGAGGGTATACCAGGTTCCCTTGATTTGCTACCGAAGGTGTCTATGCCTTGTTGCCGAAGCCAGAACGGTGTGTACCTCCTCCTCCTCCTCCTCCTCCTCCCCCTCCTCCTCCTCCTCCTGCAAAACCCCGAGGAGGGTTCTGCACGGGAGCTTGGCGACAATGATAACGATAGGCCACCTTTATACTCCCGAACGGCAAAGCAGGTCTATGTAGCTTCGACCGTTAAACACTTGAGCCAAAGGCAGCAGGGTTACTATTCCTCCCCTGCCACACGCATGCTTGCATGTTAACACCCCCCCTCGGACGCCAGTCCGCATTGGCTGACGGGGAGGTGCCTGTAAACACAAAGACAGGTTAAATCAAGCAACAGGCTGCATGAACATCGTTACATCACCGAATTCGAAATATCTCGTAGCAACGTTCACGAGCACCACGTCTCTCAGACATGCAACGTGAGCTCAAGTAAACATTCAATCAGTTACGAGTTTAAACGTAGCATCCAAAGTTCACACGGCAGGCTAGCATTTATATGGTTTTGATTGCTTTCGCTTTTTATGCGCCAATACCTGCGGTAACTATAAAAGATGCACATGCAAATAGATTCAGCTCAATGGTCCACTGCAACGCTATTGTTAAGCCTGGTTGAGAGGGGAGATGAGAGCGAGCGTAAAAGAAAGGCATGCCGGTCACCTGTCACCGTTTACGAGCGGCGCGGGCGCCTCACTGACGGAGCACGCGCGCCTCTGGACTTCGGTAAACCACGGTGCCCCACGCTGGCCGCCGTATAGGACGACACCCTGTTAAGGGCCTGCGTCGGGCTGTAATAGTCGGTGTCCAGGTACGCGTTAATGCGCTCCTCGTCGTCCAGCCAGCACCCCTCGTCAAAGCTCTTGGTGGACCCGTCAACAATGTTGTGGTAAGTGCCGATGGCCCTCCAGTAACTGGCGTGGGGAGCCTTCAGCAGAGGTTTACCACCTGGATTGTTGCGGAGGTGCTCCTCGACCGCAACTCCGGTAAACGGGTTCACAGTCCAGGCCGGGTCGGTAAGCCAGTTGGGGAAGTCGTCGCACGGCAACCACCCAAACCAACAGAGCTTCTCGCGGTGGTCACTTTTACGCTCGGTGATGTGATCGGCAGGCCAGTTGTCACGGTAAAGTGCCCTCATGGACCCCTGATCGTTAAGAGCGACGTCTAGGATGGTCTGGTGCCAGTAAACCGGAGGCTTGTTGATGCTGCCCTTTAACTCCTCGGCGCTCCTGACCTCGAGATCCTCGATGAAGTAGTTGCGGTAATACACCTGGAGCCCGTTCATGTAACGGCAATAGAGCTTGGCAAGGTCGCGCGTCGCAAACCTGATCACGGTAACCCCAGTTGAGATGTAACCGTGCGGTCCGTAAGTGTCTTCCACCAGGTGCTTAACGGAGACCACGGTGGGGTTGCCGTGGGGCAGCATCCCGGCCCACGTTAGCAGAAGGCCGTTAAGCTGTTTCTCGTTCATTTCTGGTGCCTTGTTGACGTAGACCTGTGTATCTGGGCAGCTGTGAACGTCGAACCACACTGGGTGGAGATCGTTAACGTGGATCGGCGGCACGTACTCGTCGTCGAACAGGGATTGTACGTGCCCGACCGCGTCAACCCACTCGTCGTGCTTTTCCAGCTCCTTCTCCGTCAACTGAGATCTCCAGCTGCTTGGGCCCTTCAACACGGAGTAACCAAGGAAGCCGTAAGCGTGCTGCCCGTAAATGTCGACGAACACCTCATCGTAGTCGTTAAGCTCCCGCCCCGTGTTGCCCTGAATAGATCGACCACCTGGAGTCGTTAACCCCTCTTTTGCCACATGTCCGACGAAGTTGCCTTCGAACCTGCGCCAGTTGTCGCGCGTCTTCATCGTTAACGCGACTACCTCCCTGGGGTCGGGCTCCACCTTGTAGTTGACGTCGTGGTCCTCGCTCCTGTCGTTCACCATGGGCATGCGGCCGTTGACATGGTACAGTGGGCGGTACATGCCCCTGGCAATGTTCCGCGAGTATGCCGCAAGCTGCTCGTCCGCACGGTTAACAGCTTGAGGCTGCGGTGGAGGAACATACTGGGTCGATAACTTCTTGGGCACCGGAGGCGGGGGATTCATGCCGCTAACACTGCTCGATGCACCTGACTCACCAAGGCCTGGAGGAGGCGGCTTGGGCGCCCTCACGTTCACTACCGGGGCAGGACCTTTTGATACTTCGTCACGTTGACTGCCCTGTGCACGATCTTCATCCATCTTCATTCCCAGCTGCAGTAACTCTTCCAGTTCCCGTTTACGCTCATGCATGGCCTTGGGTGCTTTCTTGTAAACAGGTTGAGGTGACGTTGACTGCGGGATCTTATTCGGCGACACGGATCGACCGAACCCTCCGGTCTTGGGCGTGGTGCCGGTAAAGCCCTGAGCCGGGGGTGCACCCGATGCCGCGGCAGCTCGGGCTAGAGGCTGGCTGGCCCCGGCCGCCGCGTTGACTGCAGTGGGAGGCGCCTTGGCGGCCACTGCCGTTGGGGGCTGCTCGGGTAACGGCGGAGGAACCTGCGGGATGTTGGTAACCGGGGAGTTGATCGGGTCATGCAAGAACCTCTGTAATCCTTCGAGCCTCTCTGTTACTGCCACCAACAGGCGTAGTGCCGCATCACGTTTACCCTCGAAGTCCTGCAGGGGCGTGATGTTCTCGGTAAGGCGCTTGGCGGTGTTCAGGAGGTAACCAATGTTGTCGTTGATGCGCCTATACTTGGTTGCATTCTCCTCCGTGTTAACTCCCGAGTCGCGATTCTGAATGTTCAGGTCCGTAATCGTCGCCATCAGAGCGTTAATCTCCGCCTGCGCCCTTTGGAGATTCTCGTTGACGTCGTCACTGTCCTGGATCAGCGCCTCGTTCTGCCGCGTTGATTCCTCGATCCTCTTCGCCATGTCATCCGCGGCCCTTTGCACCTCGTCAACGTGTTTGTCGTAGGCTCCGTGGAAGTTGATCGCCATGTTAGTGAGGGTTACGGTAAACGCGTGAGCAACGTGCACCATGTCGTCAACACGGCGGTTGAAGTTCTCACGCGTAACCGGTCCATCCCCAGCCGGGCTCTGGTCGACCATGGAGCCGTTAATGGTGAGGTTGACCTGGGGAGCCGCCATGCCTTCGTTCACGCCCAAGAGTGAGAGGTAATGGGTGGAGAAGGCCTTTAATAGCTGCAGTTTGCTTGACAGAAATGAGCTGCGAACATCAACATTCGGTAGCTGGCGCAAGCTCATGCCTACCTGTTAATGCACATTGATTCGTGTTTCGTAGATGTGTGCTCATGCTTTCACGACTGACATACTTGGTCAACGCATCTGCTGCATTCTCGTGTGTCCCTACTTTCACAATACGAATCACTCCCTCCTTAACTTTCTGCTGTAACCACAATTGACACACCTCGATATGTCTTACTTTCCCCAAGCCTCGTCTGCTCGCAATGGCAATCGCAGCCGTGGCGTCGCTCTTCACTGTAATCTCAACTTCCAAGTTAAAGTCTCTCAATACTGCCTGAAGTCCTAAACCCACTGATCCTCCTTTCACAAGTCCATAATACTCTGCTTCACCTGACGATAATGCGATGACACTCTGAGTCGTGCTCCAAGATTTTATGAGATGTTTACCCCACATTACTACTCCTCCACTCGTAGACTTCCTCGTTCGCTTACATCCTGCGTAATCCGTGTCGGTCCAAATAGTTAATTCTTGGGGCTGCTCCTGATATTGATACACATAGCTGCTTCTGCTGTGGTACTTCAAATACTTTCCTAACTTGACTAAACCCTTCCAAGAACTCATCGTGGGCTTTGACATGGTCCTAGCGAGTTCCTTTACCGAATACTGTATGTCAGACCTGTCCTGAGCTAAGTAATTTGCTCTGGCCGTCAACGCTTGATATCTTTTAGTCATGTTGGGCGAAAGTTCTTACCTCATCTCCCTCTTCAACTGGAATTCGCTCACCTGGCACTTCAGTCCTCACCTTTACTCCTTCTAGCTCAAGCTCTTTCACAATTATCTCTGCATGCCTTTGATCTGCCTCATACCTCAATCCTTCCTTCGTCCATTCCACAATCCTGTTAAGAATTCTGATCGCTTTCATGTCCTCCTTCCCTGGTCCAAGTCGCCCTCTCACTTTCACTTCAAACTCCTCCTTAATTTTATTTTCAAACCAGTCGAGATCATGATCGCCTCCTAACAGCGCGAATTCATCTCCATGAACTGTTAACCATAACGCTCGACTCTCATGCTTGAACACACATGGTGACGCAATTCCGCTCTTGAACCCAGCCTCGTTAGCAAAGTCCATGTAACAGTCCTCCCAGTTGCTCGCAGCGTCTCTGGTTCCGTACATTGATTTTAACAGCTTTCCGCACATACCTGGTTCATAGTCTTCGTCTGGTAACCTGATAAATATGTCTTTCTTTGCTGGAGCGTAAAAGTAAGCTCGTTTGATGTCAATGAATGCTAGCTTTAATCCTTTCTCACGCTCACCGTTCGTGAATCCAACTCCCTCGGTAACTGCCATTGAGAAAAGCAGTTTTTGTGCCTCCAGTGGAGGTGTAGCTGCGAATATGTTCTTTTCTTTGGAATTGTATTTAACTTGCTGGGCTACCAGCCTTGATCTGTGGTCTGGGCT